CCGCCTATTTTCCAAAGTTATAGAAGATTCTTGAGAGTAAAAATCAACAATATATGTGTGTACGTAAATACTTGTGTTAGCGTCAGTATTGTTAGGTAAAACTAAAATTTCAAGAAAGCCTCCACACGCCTATAAATATAACCAAAAAGAGTATTTATTATTAGTTTGCTATAATCAGTGTGCTATAAACTTCGGAAGCTATAACTGTGATTGTTATAACGCTTATCAATCGGAAAACTTTAGACATTTAACCAGGAACCTTTACAAAGTTCGAACATTATAAATCATTTAACTTCAGTGGATTCTCATTGGACATTAGTACTTTTACGAGAACATTACATAAATTCATCGAGGAAAACTCGGCGTGTGTAGCTGATAAATAATGAAGAACAAAGTTAGCCAGCTCCCTGTTAAGTGAATTATATCTACGTCAACTTGTAATCAACTCGCTCATCGTGAACTCTCGATAAGAAATCGAAGAAGTTTCAGACTAGAAAGAAGATTTTATATTGCTTGTAACTTTGTGAAACTTTTGTTTATAAATAATTGCTTGTAATAACTATTTGTAATAAATGTTATTGTAAATTGCACTGTTGTATTGTATATTAAAACGTATTTGTGTTAACAAAGAAAACTGTGTGTATCAATCTTGTTGGAAAATATCATAAACTGACTATATATAACGGCTTTTACTCAACTGCTAAATCTAAAGTAGGACTTAACTACTAAATTTAAATTATCAGTTAACTCAATTTCAGACCATTTGAAATTCTAATACGTAACATAATAAATTGGGGGGCTCGTCCGAGATTTGCATCAGAGACAATGTTCAATTTAAATTGTTGTTCGTCCTTCGAAGTTCGAAGAAGACCACGACATCATTTGGTCTATCTGTGGATACAGAGATGGCTCAGGAGTCCTATCCGAGCCAGGAAGCCTCGACCACATTCGCGGCATATATGGCTTGGTGTCCCGTTTTCAGTTGACCGCACCCCGTGCAGCTCGGAAGGATCGAGGGGAAGGGCAACCAATCGACGTTTACATTCTGCTGTCACCAAACCCTGCCGGTCCTTCGTTCTCCAAAGAAATCTATCCTGGTCGAGCGACTCCCAGTTCACATGGTCACACTACCTACAAACCGAATGAACAACGCTAAAATGTAGTTCTCATACATATAATTCGTCTATGACTTTATATTGGTTATAGTTGGCACGTGACTTGCTGAATTGCATACTTAAAATCGTTTTAATATAATGTATTCAACTCTGTAGAAAGCGGACGTGGTATGCCCCACTTCAACAAACAAGACATATCTGTCTCTAATGACATGACCCTAGCAAACAAATCAGTCCCAATGTGAGTTAGCGATAAGTTTATGATCTTACAACGCTAAAATTTGTCGTTTGATCCCCGCAAAAATTAATTTCAATAACTACAAACTATGATTCAATAACGATAAAAATTTATTCAAAACAAATAAACACGCAAATAGCAACCACATGGCGTGTATGTGAATTCAGGGTATTTGAAAATATATTTTTTATATCACTTTCATAGATCTAATTACATGCATTCTTGAAATATAAATATTGTCCCATTATAACATTGTACTATGTCCTTGTTTGATTTTTAATACACTGGGAAAGTTGGAAGTTGAGTTTTTGTTTCTTTCAGCAAATTGAGAATACTCAAAGTTAGCAAACATGTAAATTTTTAACAAAGGAACTGTCTAGACTCTGATTAAATTGAATAAGCAAATACTTTTAAGAAGTCGCAGAAGGTGGCGCTAACAGTGCTTAATATTATGATGGCTGTATTAAGTTTTTTGTGTAGGTCGGCGACGTGTGGTAGAGATTGTTTTCAGAATATCTTATCATTTAGACTAGTCTTTAATTTTCAAGTTAAACCAAAGTTTTTAGCATACTATTCTATAAGATGCTGTTCAACCAGAAATTCAGCATCTCATGACGCTTCTCTCTCATCAGGTGAGAGTTGAAACAAATTTTTCAAGTCTGACGACAGTAAGTTGAGTAACGTCGTTAAGTTATAACTTGTTGTTACATGTTAGTTGGGTCTTGTGATTGTAATATTATTATTAGTGTTAGTTTAACGTATGACAGTTAACTTGCATGAGTACAACATTTTTTACACTATTACTCATATTGTAAATCATTAAACTTTTTTAAGGATAAGACTTTCACCATAGATGTGTTTTGTTTGGTTGGGATAGATAACACATGTATTTACTTTATGAACTCCCCAAATTCTTGAAATTTACTGTTAATATTTTACTGACTGTACAAGAACGTATTGTACACCTTATCAAAACGTCTCCTGTAAATTTCATATAATCATAATAATTATTAAGTACAAATTTAAATGAAAGTGGTAAGTGAAAAACGAGTTTTATGTTATGTTTTGTTTTATGAATATATTTTTATGAAACATTGACTCTCAAGAAGAAAAAGATAATGGAGATGAAATACTCTATCCAGGATACATACACACATCTTTGTTTCAAAAGGTTCTTCTTGGTGTTGGATCGGCAGCAGTTGCATTAACAAATCCTCACAGAGGAGGTAAGTCTTGCTTTTTTCTAGCTACATTGAACAAAGTACTGAAACCTACATCTAAATAATGTTGAACTGAGTACTGAAGCCTACATTTAACAAACGTTGAATTGAGTAATGTAGCCTACATCTTACTAATATTGAACCAAGTACTTAAGCCTATATCTTATTAACATTGACCAAGTACTGAAGCCTACATCTAAATAATGTTGAACTGAGTACTGAAGCCTACATCTAATTAACACTGAGTAATGAAGCCTACATTTAACAAACGTTGAATTGAGTAATGTAGCCTATATCTTAATAAAGTTGAACCAAATACTTAAGCCTACATCTTACTAACATTGAACCGAATAATTAAGCTTATATCGTACTAATGTTGAACCAAGTACTTAAGCCTATATCTTATTAACATCAAACTGAGTAATTAAGTATACATCTAACTAACTTTGAACCGAGTACTTAATCCTTCATCCTACTAGCGCTGAACCGAGTACTTAAGCCTACATTTAACTAATATTGAACTGATGCCTAAAACTTAATGGTCTTCGTGAGACACAGTTGTGGTATAGGCAGAGAATGGTATTGACTTTTATCTAAGATAGAATATTACCTTTTTAATTTTTTTTTAAGTTTCTAAATTTCTGGAATTTTCTTATTTTTGCTGTATGAAAACTAGACATGGTGGCAGTTATGGGAGAAACAACAGGAATGATGGCTCTACCTCAAATAAAGCAGAAGATGGAAGCTGATTCAGAAGGACAAGATATTCTCAGGTCTGTTGTATAGGAAGGTTAAGATATTCTCAGGTCTGTTGTATAGGAAGGTTAAGATATTCCCATGTCTGGTGGATAGGAAGGTTAAGATATTCTCAGGCCTGTTGTATAGGAAGGTTAAGATATTCCCATGTCTGGTGGATAGGAAGGTTAGTATATTCCCATGTCTGGTGGATAAGAAGGCTAGTATATTCCCATGTCTGGTGGATAAGAAGGTTAGTATATTCCCATGTCTGGTGGGTAAGAAGGTTATGTATGGGTAGACTTATCTTACTTCTACTGTAAGGTTGTTTTATTATTCAACAATATTCAAAAGTCCCATATTAACAGTTAACATTTATATATATCAAAACTATACCAACATTGATATAATAAAGTTTACACTGAAAACGTAATTATCAACTATGATCTATGTATTTCAAACATTTACTTGTTAGAGGATCTAAACAAGAAAGAGTTTAGATGGAGGTATTGTAGATTTCTGTTTGAGAAACTAATCCAAATAGAAAGTTTTGGGATCACTTTAGGCACTCCTAAAACAAACATTTAGTCACTGAATATAAACAAAAATGTAATGTTAAAAATAAATTTTCCTCTATGTTATTTACAGATTTTAAGGATGGCTGTTTTGTATGTTTACAGGGAAAGACCACGAATCAACAGTAAAACAGTTAACATTGAGAAACTGAAGAAATTTCCGCAAGATACTCTTGGCCATGCATATTATAGGTTTCTGACAGAAAATGTAAGTTTTTTATCCATTAATACCAAACTGTTTCAGCTCCTGGTATGTAACCCACAAAGGGTCTGTGATAGTAAAGATTGAGGGTTCCATATCATAATTATGAAAAACCAAAGAATAATGCTGTATTAAATTAACTTCATTTTATATTTGGTGATACTGTAGGATCAAGTTCAATGGGTAGACTTATGTTAGCATTGGAGTATGTGAGATTATCTTTAGTTGTTGAAGGATCCATATAGAACCACTGGTTTTAACCTATTTCAATATATTTATCTCTCTCTATTTTTTTATGGTTTAGAGTTGTCCTGGTTAAATCAAAACTCGGTTAAAGGCTTTAGTCAAACTTGTTTTGGTTCCCATTAATCTGTCTTTATTATATTTCATTGAATCTAAAAATATTTTCATTTTACAAGTGATTCTAAGTGTGAAGATGATCCTATATATTCTTAGTGTTCCTATTACTTGGCTGTGTGTAAACATACCTGTTCAAGAGTTTTTTTATTTTGAACTTGTACTAATCATGAACTTACAAGAATACAAGATTAATAGCTCAGTGTGGATTTCCTCTGTTTAATTTATCAGTCTTTTGAAGTTTCAAATGATCTGTACAAGGAGATACATTCTATTTACTGTTGCTTAACATTGGGATGTATCATTATGTATGTTGTAATACTGTACACAAGATATAGTTAGTTACCATCGTTATGTATGTTGTAATACTGTACACAAGATATACAGTTAGTTAACATCGTTATGTATGTTGTAATACTGTACATCAAATCTACAGTTAGTTAACATCGTTATGTATGTTGTAATACTGTACACAAGATATACAGTTCCTTAGTTAACATCAAAGTTTTTAGTTTTAAAAGTATAAGTATCAGATAGAATACAAGAATGGATACAGGATGAAAAGTGTCTACAGGCAACATTGGTAAGTTATACTGATGTGGAGCACATCAGCCAGGATACAAGGGATACAGAATGAAAAGTGTCTACAGGCAACATTGATAAGTTATACTGATGTGGATCACATCAGCCAGGATACAAGGGATACAGGATGAAAAGTGTCTACAGGCAACATCGATAAGTTATACTGATGTGGATCACATCAGCCAGGATACAAGGGATACAGGATGAAAAGTGTCTACAGATAACATCGGTAAGATATGCTGATGTGGATCACATCAGCCAGGATACAGGATGAAAAGTGTCTACAGGTAACATCGGTAAGTTATGCTAATGTGGATCACATCAGCCAGGATACAAGGGATACAGGATCAAGAGTGTTTACAGGTAAATTAGCTTCCATCAGGTGAGAATGCTAATGTAGATCACATCAGCCAGGATACAAGGGATACAGGATCAAGAGTGTTTACAGGTAAATTAGCCTCCATCAGGTGAGAATGCTAATGTAGACTCAAGTGTTTATAGTTTTCTTCTTTACTTGTATACATTTTTCTGGTTGTTCTGAGACATATGTTAATACTTGCCAGCACCTGTACATTTTTATTTGAACGTTTATATCTAGGGTGTTAGTCCAGATTCTCGTCTGCCTGTCCAGTTTGTGGATGACCGCAATTTAGCTTACGTTATGCAACGTTATCGAGAAGTTCATGATTTAGTACACACTATTTTGGGAATGCCTACCAACATGCAGGGTGAAGTGGCTGTAAAGTGGGTGGAGGCTATTCAAACGGGTCTTCCCATGTGCGTAGGAGCTGCAGTGTTTGGGCCAATCAGGTTCAAGAAAGGGTATGTGAAGTAATGGACGAAAACAAGTTGGTCATTCCTTACCTGATGTTTAGAGATATTAGGGGTTGTAGTAGTCACTCAATTGTTTGTAATATGAGTTTGTACACAAACTTACTATCGGGTACTTATACAAATGAAAATAATAATGAAACATAAAGATCATATTTAAGGAATACGATCTTGATTTTATACGTGTGTAGAATGCTGCAATTTGAAACCAGCTTATATATTATCTTGAGCTTAGTTTCCTTATTTGAATAACCCTTTATGGGAACTGTCACACTGCTAAATTAACCAGAAAATTGTAATTACTTTAAATTTTTAGTTCACCTAAGGTAAAGCATGAGAAGTCAGGTGAAGTAATAGTTAATGTGAACTACATTTTGTTTTATTTGATAATTAACCATTTTAAAAATGTTTATGTGAACAGTAAGTTCTATGTGTTGTATTTATAGATCACCTCTCTCAGTTTTATGTGTTAATTACTCGTGTTATAAGTGTAGTGATTTATCTGTATTTTAATACTTTAGGCAGAGACAACAATACACCTCTACGTATCTCCCTTGGGCCATTCGATGTGGGTTTAAGTCCAAGTTTCTAATGAACATTTACTTTGAACGGAGATGGGAACAACCTTTGGATGAGCTACGGACAGAGTTTAACATTGAAGCTCCACCCAGTATACCAAAAACTTTAAAAAAAGCTCAGATTATTAGTTGAAGTTAAATTATGTTTATGGTTTCAGAATGAAAGAAGACAAATCAACAATTAGTGAAATATTTTAGATTTTTGTAAAAAAAAAAAGAAGGCAATATTGCATATAGTGAACAGTGTCTTAAGTCAAATTTAATGAGTTATTATTTTATCTCGTGTGTGTGTGTATGTTAGAATCCAGATAAAAAAGCTAAAAACTTTTTGAAGAGGTACTGAACAAGATGTCTTGAACAGTAAACGAACATACTATGCAATGAAAAATATTGAAGTTTTTAATAGTTGATAAAAGAGAAGGAAAGATCTAAGATGACCAAAAATTTGATATTTTCGGAACTGATAAAACAAACATTTGAATACATTAGCAGGATCGGCTTCGATTTTTTTCCTCCTTGGTAAACTAGAATTTCCAATACTAAATCTTCTCTCCTCTCACAAAATAGCTTTTCTCAATTAGTACTGTTCCCTATTGGTGCATATTTCCAATGCTCGTTACTAGCCTTCCACCTCCCCCTTCTACGTATCCACATGTAAATGATTATGCAGCACCTCTCCACCGATAGGAGCATGACACAACCCCTATCATAACCAGTGCACTAGTCTATCACTTCGAGTTTGGTCATAGGACCTACACCACATGTCACCGAAACTGGGGGAGGTTCCCCATGGTCTCTCTTTGGGCGCTTCCTCGAGGGGGATAATATTTTCACCGGCCCTCCACCAGTTCAATGTGGGATTCTAGCTACTTTGTGATAGGAGGTAAGATATTCTATTGGAAATTAATATTTTCCTAAACTGAAAATGTATTTCCCTCCCCTCACATTTCCCACCGTTATAGAACCATAAAGAAAAAAGTAGCTAGAATCCCACATTGAACTGGTGGAGGGCCGGTGAAAATATTATCCCCCTCGAGGAAGCGCCCAAAGAGAGACCATGAGGTATAGAACCAAAAAGAAAAAAGTAGCTAGAATCCCACATTGAACTGGTGGAGGGCCGGTGAAAATATTATCCCCCCCGAGGAATTGCCCAAAGAGAGACCATGAGGTATAGAACCAAAAAGAAAAAAGTAGCTAGAATCCCACATTGAACTGGTGGAAGGCCGGTGAAAATATTATCCCCCTCTAGGAAGTGCCCAAAGAGTGGTGGAGGGCCGGTGAAAATATTATCCCCCTCGAGGAAGCGCCTAAAGAGAGACCATGAGGTATAGAACCAAAAAGAAAAAGTAGCTAGAATCCCACATTGAACTGGTGGAGGGCCGGTGAAAATATTATCCCCCTCTAGGAAGTGCCCAAAGAGAGACCATGGGGGTATAGAACCAAAAAAGAAAATATTATAACCCAGTGGGAGACCACACCACATCTGATCCAGGTACACTCTTTGCTCTTTTATAACTGTGTCGCAAAAATAAAAAGTGGGAAAACATGAAGGAATCCCATAATACGTATTAGTATTAGTGGTAGTTTGACCTTATCCAACAACTGGTGACATCTGTGCTAGGCAGAGGATCACCTACCTCGAGAGAGGAGGTATCTATTGGAAATACATTTTCATCAGTGGAGGAAAATGTTAACTTTAAAGTATGAATCATTAAACAATTTTATGGAAAGAAACGAATGATAACTAGTTATTGAAACTTCTTTTAATGACTCGTTTTATTGTTTTTACATTAACGTGTGACTTACTTGATCTTATCCAGGTATGAAACAGTAAAGAAATTTCTAGTTCATTTGTAATAAGAAACATAAATTTCCAAACTATGAACTTCATCAATTTAAGTAAAATATTAGATCCAAAGAAGTTGAAAAAACAAATAAAAAACGAGCACTTTCGTCAGGGGTAAATGTAGAAGGAACTGATGAGTATTACTAGTTTTAATGCCTTGAAATAAAAATGTTCATATATGTTGTTGGCCCAACAATCAAGTTGTGAGAATGCTACTTCTAAATTAATTGCTTAACAATTGAAAACTGTGTGATCCTTGATCCTATTACTATTTAATTAAAAGCAGTAGTCTTTGTTTTCTCAATCAGTAGTTTTAACACTTTTTATGCCATTAAAAAGTATTGTGCATGTTACGTTCATCAGTTAAGTTTTCACTTTATAACCTAGATGGCAGTAGTGGGGCAGTTAGTTGCTACTGTCTTTTATTTATTGACGAACTTATCAATCAGTTCTTAAAGGTTTTAAGTTGCGATAACTTTCCCAAGAGACTGAATATACTTCGCTGTTTATTAAACTGTTACAGGTATATGAAATTAATTTGGAGCTAAGTTGGTATTGACATTTTCACCATAAACGACTTTTGTCAGTGAGAATATAGTAGCGATTTTGTTTGGTGAAATAATAGGCTCGAGGGCAGAAATAATTAACTGAGATTTTTAAAAATCAAAGTTAATGTTTTTCGTTTCAGATTAATTTTAATAAAGAACATGCAGAATTATATTAAGATGCAAATTATATATTAATTATATTAAGACTAAATTATAAAGACAATAATGCTTGACCCCTGGTGGGACAGCGGTAAGTCTCCGGACTTACAACACTAATATCAAGGGTTCGATTCCCCTTGGTGGACACGGCAGATAGCCTGATGTGGCTTTGCTAGAAGAAAACACACACACAAATACACTATAATGCTTAGAAAGGGTCAGGTTGGAATCAAACAGCATACTGGATAACGTGTTCGTTTAAGATATCTTAGTAATCACTCTGCTAATGCCTTGTTACTAAAAATATTCAACAAGACTGGCTAATCTTTACTGTAAGTTATTTTGAAATTATTTGTTAAAGAATCTGTTTTTGGGGTAAACCAGACTTGTACATTTTATTAAAAATCTGCCACGTTTCATGTAGATATACTTACTAAATTTGGAATACCAGTCAACATTTCTTATTCAACACAAGGTTAGACCAAGGGACCAACCTATTGAGCATTTGGTGAATTTTGTTCTCTTGATAAAACACTTGCTTTAATTTCACTTGAACCTACATCTGACTTTCTAGTAGTCTAAACACTTGTATGTCACGTTAAGGTCTATTAACGTTTTTCCTGATCGAGACTAACTAGTGAATGTTTTAGTTGACAAATATTTGTTTTTATCAAGATAAAAACGTGTCACTAAATAAAATGAGAAACATTTCACTGATAAGTATTTGATAATATTGGTAATTTAGTTTTGAGTTTAGCCTTTTGATAAATTATAATTAATGTTACTTCTTATGGAAAAGCTATTCTTGGAATTGTTGACAGGACTTTAACATCTATTAACCGTTAAACCTTATTTTTCAAAAATAACTTCGAGATATAAGATTCATATATTTTTTGCTCACTTAATTGTTTTAAGCCTATGCCAAATTTAAACCAACCTCTCCCACTTTTTGTATTTCTCTGTTATAATAAACATTATTTGTTAATTTCTCCCTCGTTCTGTATATTCAAGCTATATTAATATTTACCAAACTCTCTCCTTTTCTATGGCTCAGGAGTTAGTGAGCTAGATGATCAATCTGAAGCTCCATTGTTCGTGTTACATTACAAACAAAACATTGTGATCCACACTTTGGGGATCATGGCTGCTTTATAGGAGTGACTGTCAAACTCCACAATTCGACATCACAAGATTTGGCGATAGGTGGTGTTGACTAGTTACTTTCAGCCGTGGGGGCATTATAACGTTCCGGTCAATTCCACTATTCATTGGTAAAAGAATAGCCGAAAAGTTGGCGGTGGGTGGTGATAAATAGCTGCCTTCCCTCTAGTATTTCACTGCTAAATTAGGGACGGCTAGCGTAGATAGTCATCGTGTAGCTTTGCGCGAAATTCAAAAGCAAACAAGCGAATCATAAATAGAAATTTATTTTGAATATATGTTTTATTATACTTGTTAAAACACAACACAATATTGAAGTTTTATCTAACACAAATCAAACTCTTGATAATAAAGTTATCGAATGAGAATATGTTGGAAGTTATCTTACTGGGATTTAAAGTGATGAATGAAAACTGCAACCTTTGATGTGGCATGTTAATGCAACCAACACCACACAGTGCAAACTGCATAGTACTGCATGAACTCATTGTTCTGTGATAGGCTTATTAGTTGCTGCTAGCCTGGTTGTCAAAGATGAATTACCAGTAATAAGACAATTGAAAACACCAGATTTCACCAAGATCATCATGAAACCAAACACAGCCACCTGTAAGAAACAAAGTTTCATAAAAATTCAATATTGTTTCACAAAGTACAGCCACTTAGAAGAAACGATAACGTGGGATAGTCTTGCTAATAACTATCTATGAAAATATAATAAAATGACAGTTTTTACATTGATAATAAACTCTTATTAAATATAGAATAAAATAACCATCTTACCTTGGTCAGCAACTCTCTGTGAAGATAAAAAAACCTCTGCCCACTGAACTTCACCGATGACTCCTGGACCTCGAGGGTCAATAGTTGAATCTGAAAAGGTTGATAACCATAACAATTGTTGTTGTAAAAAATGGCCTATATAAATGATATTCCGACCATTACTGTGTTCGTTATATCCCAGCCGGCCTGAAGAGCTCTGGATTGAGCGAAAATACAGTGTAGTTGAAATACAATTATTATACATTCCTCTTATCCTTGAAAAACCACAAGAGACTAAATCAATAATGTTGTGCTAAAAACATAATAGGCCTAACATAATGTCTTATAAGCAGTATGATTAATTATAATCATGCTTGTCCAGTTTGTAAAAGGCGTTCACACCATAACACTGTTGTAACTTGTGGACATAGGTTTACAATTGATACTTAACGAAAATGCCTCGCTAATGGTACTGTGACTAACGTACAAATAAATTTATTTGTACAATTTCATGACAAATCGATCGAGTATCTGATAATTAACACGGATCCAAATACTTCATCTATTGTCGTATTTATAATGCAGCCTTGTTTTTAGACACTCCTTAAAGTCTTTCAATCACTAACGTTACTAAGTAATCTAGGACTTACTTGTATTCATCTGATGCGCCCCTAGCTAACAACTAAATTAAAACATTAAAAATGCAACTTACGACAGTATTGTTAAGGTGATATTATTCTTATATTTGACATTCTGTTCGTATTCTTTGCTAGAGGGAAGGTTTAACGCCAAGTGGGAGAAAGTGTGAAAAAATAATAGCTAGAACTACTATGAAAGAGTAGGAACCAAATTGAATGATATAAAACCTGAGTCAGGCAACATCATGGCGTTCTTAGGCCAGGTAACTATGAGTTAGACAGGACTAGGGGAGGTTGTTGATCGCTTAGCGTGTTTGTTATAATATTTCATTAATTATTAAGTCATCCAGTAAGTTCATTAGTTATTAAGGGCTGTAAAATTTGAGTTTCTGCTTTCAATGAAGTACTATAGATACGAGAAATACCGTATGCATGAGAAAATTAGCAAGTAAGTGGAATCTCTACTGAGGCATTATTTATTTGTAAAATTAGGCCTATCGTTAGTTTGTGCAACTTTCAGAAATGGTGTGAAGCAAATTGACATTTCCAGAATAGTAGAGTACCCCCAATGTACTGTATCCAGAATCCTGGAACGTCATCGGACTACAGGGAATGTTGTTCAAGGAAAGTCCAATGGTAGACTCTGAAAAATCATTGACGAGATGACCAAGTTTTGATCAGATCAACACATCAAAATCGAAAGAAGTCTTGCAACACCTTACGACAGAAATGGAGTGAAAACATTCATTCCAGCGTATACAGTAGGAAGGTGAATAGGGGACTGGCCAAACAATGCTATTTTGCAAGAAGGGCTGTCTGTAAACCGATATTAACCAGAATTCACTGCCGTCACCATGTTAGTTGGGCAAGACATCATGCCAACTTACAGTTAGGACACTGGTGACATGTCATCTTTCAGATGAGTCCTGTTTCCGGCTTGTTAAGGCTGATGATAGGATTCGTGTTCACCGTTTGCCTAAAGACCAGCTGAGGGAAGACTGTCTTTCCCACAGGGAACACACAGGAGGTGGTGCAGTACATGTTTCGGCAGCTATTCATCATGGTGGAAAAACTTCTCTTCATATCCTTCAGGAAAACGTCAATGGTGTCTCCTACAGGCATCATGGATACGATATGTCTGCCCTATCTTAGGGCAAGGTTTGACAATAACTTTGTGTTCAAGGATGACAATGCTATTGCGCACAGTGCACATATTGCCCAGGATTATCTCGACCGGAAGGACGTTACAAGATTGCCATGGCTAGCAAAGTTCCAGATTGTAATCCCTTTGAGAACTGTTGGGCAGAACAGAGACGGAAAATTGGTAACTACGAAACTAAACTAGGTATGTAGCTCAGTTACAGCGCCTTCTAGTGACAAGTTGAGATGAATTTTGGGTGGATTACACCACTAACCTCATCGACAACATGCCACGTTGCCTTTCAGAGGTTATTGGAGTACGAGGAGGACCAACCAAGTACTTAATGTTTAATATGAACTCATATAAGGTCACAGACGCTATTTATAATAATTTAATGTTGTATTTTGTCATCATATCAGTTTTGTGATAGGTGAATTAAACATCTTTCTAAAGGTGTCTGATAAAATTGTTTGCTGTTCTAATGAATCGTTCATGATGTCCATAGAACTTGTCTCATTATACAAATTACACATGTAGATGTTTAATATATCATGCATTTCTCAGTTTGATAGCACCTAGTGTATTTGTAATCCACCAGAATAATTATGATCATATTATTTGTTACAAAATATGCAAACATTTTGGCCAAGACTGTATTTCACAGTTCCACCAAAATTTAACTCTGTATCTTCCCACAAAACTGTGAGAAACACAATTCCTGTAGTTGCACAGTAAACTATGAGAAACAGAAGTCTTATAGCTTCACAGTAAATTGTGAGAAACAGTATTCCTGTAGCTTTAGAGTAAACTCTGAGAAACAGAATTCCTGTAGTTGCACACTAAACTATGAGAAACAGAATTATTGTAGCTTCACAGAAAACTGTGAGAAACAGAATTATTGTAGCTTCACAGAAAACTGTGAGAAACAGAATTATTGTAGCTTCACAGAAAACTGTGAGTAACATAATTCCTGTAGCTTCACAGTAAATTATAAGAAACACAATTTCTGTAGATCACAGTGGATTCTGGGGGGCGATGTCTGAAACTGTGTTTATACCCCCCTATCACAAGTTAGCGGAATAGAAGCTTATAACGTGACACGGGTGCTCAGATACCACGAGCGGGTGTCTTAATGGGATTGATTTTCAGATACGAACCCCCTTGGGGTAGCTGTAGAAGTAATTGGGGATAATGGAAGAGCTTGATAGGTACAAGAAATATGTATTTCTTTCATAAGTACAAAGAACGTGTATGGTTTGTGTAACTAGAAGACGTGTATTGCTTTAAGCTTACCTCAAATTTGCTGTTTGGACAAACATTAAGGGTCCTGACTTTATGAAGACAGGGTAAGCAATCAGTACTCTGGAAAAGAAAAAAAGTTCAATTATTTGTTATTTTACTTTAAAACTTTGCTTGGATCTTACCTTCTGAGGTTACTTACGATGTCATATTAACTAATAGTCCTACGTACAAAATCATATTAACTAATAGTCCTACGTACAATGTTATATTAACTAATAGTCCTACGTACAATGTTATATTAACTAATAGTCCTACGTACAATATCATATTAACTAATAGTCCTACGTACAATATCATATTAACTAATAGTCCTACGTACAATATCATATTAACTAATAATCCTACGTACAATGTTATATGAAATAAAGTCCTACGTGGAATATCATATCAACTAAAAGTCCTCCGTACAATATCATATTAACTAATAGTCCTACGTACAATGTTATATATTAACTAATAGTCCTACGTACAATATCATATTAACTAATAGTCCTACGTACAATATCATATTAACAATGTTATATTAACTAATAGTCCTACGTACAATGTTATATGAAATAAAGTCCTACGTACAATATCATATTAACTAATAGTCCTACGAACAATATCATATTAACTAAAGTTCTGCGTACAATGTTATATGAAATAGTCCTATAATTAAAATGTTTTGATGATGTAAGAATTAAAAAGACCCACGGTGTGTTATTTCATGTCGAGGATACGATTTTTTTGAAATAGAATAAGCTCTGTAAACTGTTTGTGACGTGAGTTAGAGGAAGTTACGTCATACTATAGAGGAAGTTACATCATACCAGACTTACAAAAAGCCTATTAGAGGTAGGTATGTGAAATTTTGGCTAGCTTATCAAGTTTTCTTTATCCAATCCAAAGCTTGTGGATATATCTGTGCTATGTAAATTGTAAATTATTATATTTAAATATATATATATATATATATATTTAATCAACCAGGAAAAATAAGAGGTTACTATGAAAACCTCCCTCATCATCTGGAAACAGTTCCGTGGATTTCCTAAACCTTGGGATATAAGAGGTTACTCTGAAAACCCCGTTATCATCTGGAAACTGTATACAGTTCCGTGGATTTCCTAAACCTTGGAATATAAGAATTACTATGAAAACCTCCCTCATCATCTGGAAACAGTTCCGTGGATTTCCTAAACCTTGGGATATAAGAGGTTACTCTGAAAACCCCGTTATCATCTGGAAACAGTTCCGTGGATGTCCTAAACCTTGGGGTATAAGAATTACTATGAAAATCCCGTTATCATCTGGAAACAGTTCCGTGGATTTCCTAAACCTTGGGATATAAGAGTTACTATGAAAACCCCGTTATCATCTGGAAACAGTTCCGTGGATTTCCTAAACCTTGGGATATAAGAGTTACTATGAAAACCCCGTTATCATCTGGAAGTTATTTTATTATTCTGGCAATTACCTCTATCATAAAAAATGAGGTTACTATGGGAACTATCAATAGTTAGTTAACTCTGATCCGAATGTGAACGAACATTTTCAGGTTACTATGGAAACTGTCAATGGTTAGTTAACAATGATCCGAAAGTGAAAGAACATTTTCAGGTTACTATGGGAACTATCAATGGTTAGTTAACAATGATCCGAATGTGAAAGAACATTTTCAGGTTACTATGGAAACTGTCAATGGTTAGTTAACAATGATCCGAAAGTGAAAGAACATTTTCAGGTTACTATGGAAACTGTCAATGGTTAGTTAACAATGATCCGAAAGTGAAAGAACATTTTCAGGTTACTATGGGAACTATCGACGGTTAGTTAACGCTGATCCGAAAGTGAAAGAACACTGTCAACTCTCACACAAGATTGGTCAAACATTTGTGTAAAAACAGAGGGGGGGGGTGAGACGTATTATAAATTTATATCTTACTAGCAGTTTACTTTGTTTGTCAGAAATAACATTCGTTAGATAAAACAATCCTTAGAACTGTACTGAAGTTAAGAAAAACTTGTTTGACAAGTGCTTTAACAGTAATAAAGTTAACAATCAGTTGTTTGACAAGTGCTTTAACAGTAATAAAGCTAACAATCAGTTGTTTGACAAGTGCTTTAACAGTAATAAAGCTAACAATCAGTTGTTTGACAAGTGCTTTAACAGTAATAAAGTTAACAATCAGTTGTTTGACAAGTGCTTTAACAGTAATAAAGCTAACAATCAGTTGTTTGACAAGTGCTTTAACAGTAATAAAGCTAACAATCAGTTGTTTGACAAGTGCTTTAACAGTAATAAAGTTAACAATCAGTTGTTTGACAAGTGCTTTAACAACATTGAAGTTAACAATCAGTTGTTTGACAAATGTTTTAACAGCTCTGAAGTTAACAACCATTTCAATAGTTTCTCCCAACGTGTGAGGGTAAAATGGTCGCGGCGTTATTCACCATTAGCTTTAAGCTATTTATTCAATTTGTGAAAAAGCGAAATTTGACGTTAGTTGTCTTTCAAAACTCTTATTGATTGGTAGTGAACATTTAACTTATGTTAGAGCATTTTTGATATTTCACTTTGCTTGGATTTATATTTTGACTGTAACAATTTAACTTTTAAGTGTTGATACGTGTGTTATAATTTTTTTATATATATTTCAAAAATATTTACCAGTTTAGTGACGTCGTCTGCTGCTAGAACTAGGGCCAAACAGAAGATGACAACCAGTACAATTTCAAAGACTTCGGCAGTTAAGTGTAAGATACTCTTTTCTGGTGACTGGGGTGCAAAGCACAGCTGACCCACGAAGCAGCACAGAACACTCGGCACAGCTACAAACACCAAGGTACTAAACATGGCGTCGGTTTCCCGAGCTAGATTACATAAGAAGGCGTGGTCTCTTCTGAGTCCCTCGACTTCTGTACTGATGTCTTCTTTGGAGGCCAGTAAGGTGGTATCCAGGATCTCAGTAAACTTGTTGAAGCTAAGCCTTAGAGCCAAACAGAGAAATAATAACACGCAGAAAGGGATGAAAATGGCTGTGATGGTGTACAGGTTAGCGAAGAACAGTAGAACTTTCCAAAAACTCCAACTCAAGCCGTCAGCAACACTACGTAAGACAAGAGGGACCGTGAAGAACATTAGAGGACAAAAGAGCAAGTTGATAGCGTATCGATGAAGGCTGACAGCATGCACGTGAAGCCCCACCCGACGTTCCACTTTTAGCCACTTCTGACAATATCTGGGAAACTGAGAAGTCGCACTGATCATAGTTAGACTGCTTAGAAACGGAAGAATGTATTGGACACTGGTCAGTACCGATGTCACAAGAGCACTCTGTTGATCTGTATAAAACATAAAATGGGCATTGAGATAGATGTGTATAGAACCTAAAATAAAATGGCAGACAACGACGCTACAAGAATACAAGAAAGAAAACGAATTCCACAGGAAATACAAACTGTTAACATCATAAGTGAGAACGTCTCCCAATGGAAGAAGGCCACAAACTTTCGCTGCAAAAGCAAGCAGACGAAATGCTAGATAGAACTGGCTCTGTTTTGCAGTCGCTTCTCTGTTTTCCATTATTAAAGGTAGTACATCAGCAGCCGGAATAGAATCTTCATTCATGTTGATAGAGTGGGTCTTTCTTCTGTACGCAGCCATCGGCAGCTCAGCTTGGCTCTGGATCTTTGGTTGCATGCTGTACTCAAGCTACTAATATGAATGTCGAAATTTGGGAAGGAAACGTCAAGCAGGTGTGTGTTGTTTCAACAACACCGTACCACAGTAAGGCAACGGTAAATCTAAGGTCTAGAAATATATATATATTAAACAAAAAATCGAATCAAAGTTCGAAATGAAACACTGAACACGAAGCTACTTTTATGCAAGAAAACCTATGAAAGAAGCAAACTACACGTGAAAAATTATAGAAAAGACAACTTCTTGAAAACAGTATTGAAATGTTTTTTGTGTCATGTATGCCACCTGCACGAAATTCCAGATTTTCCTGGGCTGCAGGTGCGTTAAGTTATCTGTCACAAGTTAAATTCACAGAGGCAGGTGGACAGGATGACGTATTGACGGTGTATTTACTATCGTTCCGAGATTATTAATACGGTAGGAGGTTCCTGAATAATTAATAAGTTTCGTCCCATAATAACTCTTAATAGAAGTTGAC